TCTTTCATTCAGACACAGAAAGGCACTTAAGAGGGATGCACAGAACTCTCCCCTAACCACAAAGCAAGGGCATGTTACTTACACACACACCGAGGGGAAAAAAAAAACAACCTCTGCTAGACACAAAGCTCTTCTTATCATAGAGTGGCCAGGACAAGCCCCATGTCAACACAATGTACTTCCATACATTTTTCAGAAAACACGTGTTCATTGGGATAACAACATTTTAGCAGGACAAAGTAAGCTGTTTTACAAAAATTCTTTAGCTTAAGTCTATGTGACTACTCACAGTATCTTAACTAATTGATCAACTTGTGCTGTAACTCCTGGTACCGCTGCAGTTGTATTTCCTCTCTTAGCTCAGTAACTTAGTGACACCTAATGTTTGTTTTCTGTAATACATGTCGAAGAACAAAGCAAAGCCTTTCTGAACCATTTTAATAATCTGATATGTATACTAATATAAACTGATCAGTCTTCAAAATCGTGTACAAAACTAATTATATACTCTAAACCCATTTTTTAGTATTCAAAGTCATTCCAGTGTAAGGCTGATTTTAAAAAAAAAAAAAAAAAAAAAAAGAGCGCACAAGCTAGCTTTGCTATGTTGTACGCATTTCTGTGCTAAAAAGATAAAATACAAAAACAATCCAAAGATATGTTTTGCTCCATTAAAAATAAAGCCATGAAAGTTAGAAATAGGCGTAGCTTCTCAGGACATACAAGCAGATGAAATTTCCTATATTTTGGTTAAAATGTTTCTAAACTTCAGTTAAAGTTGCTAAATTTTAGTTAAAAGTTATTAAATACTGAAATTTAGTAAAGTATACTAGGTCATACTTCATTTCTATTAAGCCCTCCTTCAAATGCAAAAGCTCAGCAGTTTTTTCCTTCCCCAACTCCAGCTAAAAATATGCAATCGAGAGGGGAAAAGCCAGCTCTCCCACACTCCCATGAAACTCAATTTAACTTAACTTCTGGTGTACAAATTAACATTATTTTCTATTATACTGTCTAAGCTACTGGTATATAAAAACACATCCTACATAGCTAACCATAAAGTAATAAAAAAATAGACATATTTCTAAAAAAACAATGTATTTTACAAAGGAAAAGAACTCCATCCTCTCTACATTATTTTGAAGGACAAGGTGTTATGAGCATTTTTTTTTTTTTTAATTTAAGAATTTTATGACTTACTGTATTAAACTTTATTCTATAGTTTCAAGAAATTTGGGGGAAATTCCCCAAATTAAGACCATGTGCTCATAAACCACTCTGAAACACAAACTGCAGGGTGTGTGTATGACAGCATGAAATCAAACCCATATGCACACATAGACTTTAATAAAATTAAAATTGCAAATCATGTACATGACAAACATGTGATTGTAAAATACTATTAATACTGTCATACTTGCGTTCCTGGGACAAACAAATTCTTTTCATATTTTTCCACCCTTATTTCTTTTTGTAGGTTAAAAAGATTTCTGTCCTTTCTGGGATACAAACTATTCCATAATGTCAAACACTACTCCCAATTTGATTCTAAAAATTTACTTAACAGAAATAATTTGTAAAGCGCCCTCAAATCTGAAGGTACATGAATTCAAGTGTTTGATCTATGCTCAGTATTAATCTTAAGATAAGCATATTACATACAAACCATATGACATTGATGGTAAATGTTGGCTCTTTCCACTTTAATAGGAAAAATTAAAAGTAAAATATTGAAGTAATAACACAACATTACAAACAAAAAAGCCTCTGGCACAGAAGTGAACTCTGTACTTACAGGTATGCTCCAGATTTGCATTCCATCACTGTATCCGATCATTAGCAGTAACGGTGGTTCATTCCCAGTGCTATGTATTTCATGAAACTCCATATTCCTTGATGTATCTAAATTGGGTTTAAATATCAAAGCCGTTATTAACAAGTTAGGATCAACTATGGCTGGTGTCAGTTATACTAGATGGTGTTTTCTCAATGCATGTTTCCGTTGTCATAAGAAAAAGCAAGCAAAGTGGTTTAAATTTTTATGCTGGAACAATACTGAAATATATTCTTCTAGGAAAACAGAAGAGATTTGTTAAAGTTTCACAGAGAGGTTAGAAAGCATTAAAATTTAAAGTGACGGAGAAAAATTTTCTGGATTACGATGTGGGTTGTACCCACAAAAACTTCTGTAATTATTTCTCCAATAATTAATAAAAGACAGCAAACTTTTCAAACAGAGAAAAATTTGCAAAGGACCAACAAAATAAACATTAACAAATACAGAAATTACAAATGCACAGACTGATCAAGACTATTTCTAGATACTATGTAATTAATCTTTACATCAACCTTACCAAAAGAAGAAAATCCCCAGGAAGAAAAGTGCTACAGGACATAATAATCAAAATATTAAGCTTTTCTTGAGTAAAGTCCTCTAAAACTACATTTTCAACCATGACAGAATGAACTGCAAGCATGTAAGCATCAAAGAAAGAGAGGAAATATTTAGGATGGTGAAAGAAGATGTATTCAGGCCCAATCAGATTAGGCTGCATAAAAGTAAATTTAAACAGAATATGAAGGATTCTGAGGAATATTCTAAAGAGGTTTTGTTATACTGTAGAAAAGAACCCAAAGAAGGAATGCCTGAGACTTTTTAAAAATAAACATACAACGAAAACAAACCCACAAGCAAACAAACCTTAAGTAGCCTAAAGCTGGACATAATGCTGTGTACAGGTTGGTAGGTCTTTTCTAGTTCTAATAACCATGAATTTATGAACTGCCATTTCAACAGCTGGAAAACATATAATCTTCCCCATTAGCCTTTTGGAAAGGCTGAAAATTCCCCATCACAGCTCTGGCTATGGTTGCTATTATTTCATCTGAGACTAGAATGAGCCTTTACCGTGGAGCTCTAGACAGCAAAATAAGACGGCAGACAAGAAACAGCAGTTTGCTGAAAGACTTAAATCCAGTGTTCTCCAGAAGGCAAGTTCCTTAGTTCCCTTAGCTGTGACAAGCACACATGCCACACAGCACAAGCAACTCCAGGATGTTCAATTAATTCTAGAAGTAACTACCTGATAGCAGCATTCAACCATCTCTCATTCAGTCCCTAACCTTATTCAAAAAAACAGGTAACTAGGATAGACAGGTAAAACAGCTCAGATCTTCAGTGGGGATCTACTTGATACTCTTCGAAAAAGCTTGTAAAAAATCACAATTTTTTCTTAAAAAAGTTGGAGATCCATTGCCTGCACTAAGTCAGTAGTCTTTGCCAATAATTTATTAAGATACACTGGAAATGATAAACAAGAATATTTTGTGCCTTTGCTCTATTCTTTCCCTGAAAGACATCATGGAATCCCCTGCTCATTTTCCCCAACAGCTCTTCCTTTCCAGGTTACTATGAATTCTATCCCACCACTGAAAATGTAACTGGGACCTGGACTGGATTCACAGTTAAATAATCTGGTTTTGAAATCAAACAGTAGATTAAATAAATTCAGTTCTATGCTTTGTTTTCAACTACCTTAAAGAAAGGTAATGGACTGGGGGGGGGCGGGCACGGATTTGCCTCTCTTCCTAAGCAAGAGTTAATTTGCCTTTAGATGAAGTTGCAAGGCCTATTTGTTCTATTTGGTAGGTATTGAACAAAAGTACAGTTATTCACTGAGAATTTAGTCTATCTAGAACAGGGAAATGAAATACTTTATTTTGAGTCAACAATGCTTATTGATAAAGCTGACTGAAATTATTGTACATGGACATCACAAAAATAAGTGAGGGAAAAATGAAGCCATACCATTTAAATCTGCATTTTCAAATCTGACCCACATGATCTTCTCCTTTTCTTCTGCTGGTGGGGTACCACTATAGGCCTGGATAAAAAGCAAAAGAGTTGAAATAAGAAAGCTTAACACCTCTTTTCCTCACACTCTATAGACCATAGGAGACAATGTAAGTTATAAAAGAAAACCAGAGACACACGTATCTAACTGCCACCAGTATTCCTGTGAGGCTTTGTTTCAAAAATGAATGGTTCCATGATCAACATATACCATATTAAATATAACTCAACAAGCATAACATCAGTTACTAAGATAGAAATGACAAGACATATACAACAAGTCTTCTGGAGCAGGTTAGAAATGCCACGTGACATATAGCAATTTAGTCAAGTTACAACACAGTGGCTTCTACAATCTTTAAGTTGTACACTACTTCTAAAAGCAATGTTAGAGGTTTTCATGTGAGACATTTTTACTTTTGAAATTCTTTTTAATTCACTTAAAAGCTTTGTAAGCAAGATTGAGGAAAGAAAGAAACCTTTATTACATAGTTTTACTGACATGTTTTTGTTCTATTTGTGACATCTTTAATATAGCCACTTAAAAGAGAATAAACTGTAATTCCAGTAGAACAGATCCATGTTTCTGTTCCATGTTCTACAGATTCCCATAAAAAGATGAGATACAAAAAGAAACTGTGAAGGAGACGTGCAGTGTTTCCAAACTGCAAGTTTTACAGTTCTCAGGAGAAACTGTGGTAGTAAGAACGTGAGCTACAGTAGAAATACCATCACTTCCAAATGAATTATAACAAAATACTGTGCAGTACTTTGGATTAAATATGAAAAAAGCTTGTATAATCACTTTATACATGCCAGAAAAGCAATAACATGAACTAAAAATACAAATTTAAAAAATAAGTGTGGGTATTGCTTTTCAAAACAAATCACATTCTATGCTTCCAAGGCAAACTGATTTGTAAAATAAAACACAGACTGTATCCTGTAACTGCAGAGGGGAAAAAATGGGGGCATGTGTGGAATGCAGCAATCTTTTCAATGAAAGTTTGACTATTTTTAATTTTGACCATGAGTCCAAAATGCATTTCACAAATTCATATTAGTGACGGGAATTTTTTTTATATTATTATTGAGGAAATTCATGACTAACTAACCAAGATAATCCTTCAAACAAGAACCAAGATAGTTTCCTGAGGCTACAGACAATTAGCTGCAATGCTTCTCCACTACTGACTACGGCCTTCCCAAAGAGTAACAAAACACAACTAGTTTCCCTCTACTACTGAGAGGCCCATGAGCAATACAGAAGTGACCATTCCAGTTTCATGCTGCTGCTACCTGTGAAAACTATAACCAAGAGCAAACTAAGCATCATAGTTCTTCTCCAGAGAGGAATATATCAGAAATGAGAAAAGAAAAAAAAAAAAAATTTAAAAATACGGAGTGAGGACTCTTGTTTTGCAAAACTCAGCACACTGGAGAACAACAGGTTAGGCAGAGCTCCACAGTCCCACAGCAGCCAGGACGCTCTGAGGCTATTAAGGAAATAAGATAAAAAAGAGGGAGTAAAGGAGGCAAAAGAAACTTTCTCTTTTTCAGCCAATGACAAAAGTTAAGGTGACAACTTGGTTCATCTACCAAGTTGTTCTAACACCAATCCAGCCAGGGTTCCAACTACAATCCAGAAAAAACATATTTCTAAGAGGCAGAGCCAGTATTATGCCCAGTCTCGCCCCTCCCCAACTACTCCATTGCCAAAATTAGCATAGGAAAAGGCTGCAATCTTCTTCCTGCTATTTATATTGTAATTCTTCAACTTCTGCATAGCTAAGTTTTTCATTTAAATTATTACCTATCAGAGGAAATCTGTAGGCCCATTTTTCAGATGGTATGAGGTCTACGCTTTCAAAACCCTGGTCTCAAGATTCACATTCAAAAAAACAAAAATTTTTTTAGTTTTTCAATGATATTTTGGTCCACTTGACACATACTTCAACTGCTTGTACACCAAAAAAATAGTTTTAAAAATCCACACATACCTGTGGCACAACATCTTGCAGAAACGTAACAACGCTTTCCATATACGACTGTTCCCTTGAAAACAGAAGGAAAATTTTTAACTACCACTGAAGTTCAGAAATGGTTATGAATATATTAAATAAGACATATCACCAGAGGAAAAACACGCACAATCTTTAGTACAAAGGAAAACACTAATTACGCAATGCAGCTACTTAACATACTGCCAAAAACTCTGATAATATAAATAGCAGCCTAAAAGTCTGTAAAAAGCTAAGTGATACCTGTTTATGAAATAACTGCATGGGGGAAAAGTATAAATTATAACAGTCAAATAAACCATGTTCTCCACATCAGAGTGAGTGACTAAAATAGAACAGGCATTCGGAAGTTATTTTTAAGTATTTTTCTACTTGATCTGGCTATTACAACATGAAGATGAGGACTTAAGCTAAGGGCTGGAGCTCTCTTTGTGGCACAAGTAAACTTTTAAGACCTCATATGCATTATGTACAACGATGAAGTAAGAGGTAGCGCTTGGGGGCAGGAGATGGAACAAAACCCTGACTAAGAATAGTAAGGAGGTATTTTCAGGTAAGATTTTATAGCTTGGGAAGCTTATTCCTTCTTGGAAGTTCATTAGCAGCAATGATTTAGAATAGCATATAGTGCAAGATACATTTGTTCTGATAGATTTAAACTAATGCTTTTATTAGCTTATCCCTGCATGAGCGGCGAGTCTCTTGTGTAACTGCTGAGCAACGTACAATGTGGGTTGACTATATTAGACAGATGGTGTTGAAATTACACAAAAAGTTTGTGCTTTCTGTAATGAGTAATACCGAAACATGCTGGCAACAAGAACTATCTTCATAAAGTCTGAAACAATTTTTTTTAAAATAAACTCTTTAGGTAACAGCTTTGGCAGCCCCTAAATTAATTTTCATATTGGCAGCAATTTTTCCTGTGCTAACTCAAGATTTCTAATAGCCACAAAGAAAAATCGTAAACTAGATCGTAAACTAGATTTAGATCTAGATTCGTGATGTCCAAAGGCACATATGCTTTCTTTGTGCTTTCTGAAACTGTGCTGTGTAAGATTCTTTTAACAGAAATTGGAGTGTTTAGTATTTAAGAATTAAGTTCTCTGCCCTATACACAGCAATACAGAAGATACTTCAATACAAATGCTGCAACACCTGGATCAAGTTAACTGGTTGACTCCTCTCTAAAAACAAAGATAAATCTAAACCATAAAGCTTTAAATTTTAGGAGAGCTTATTCTGACTCATGACAAAACTAGATTTTGTTCAGCAATCCAAGGATTACTGCATCAAAGTTTGTCTTACTGCTCTAAGCTGAGGCCTTATAAATGAGCTGTGGTTTCTAGTGCTGATTCTTCTTTGATTTATGTAGGTCACCAAAACTGTCTTTGTATACCTTCAGAGCCCTTTATTACCTAGCAATAATACTTGTCTACAGGTATAGTATTAAATACAGTGTTTGAAGTTCTCATGTGAATGCCTACCAGCAAGAGTCATACTGTCTTCCTTTTTCAGCTCATGAAACGAGTCCTTTTTTTTCCCCCTCCCCCCCAAGTACACCTTGAAACAAAGTTGATGTTTGGGAAATGTTTTATTCAGTGCATGTACTCTGAATCTCTCCTGAAGCTGAAAAACTTCCAAGACTTTAGAGTGCTTAAAAACAACCAAAATTACAACAACAAAACACAACAACAACAAAAATCTTCTGTTAGTAAGAATCTAGGAGTTTAACATAAGCAGCAGAATGCTGCTGCAGGCTGCTCAACATACACAAACTCTCATCAAAAAGACTGAAATTTTTGAGGTGAAAAGATGTACCTCAAGAACAAGCCACCATATTTAATAAAACAAAAGAATAGATACTCTTATTCTTAGTGTTTTTCTATTACTGTATTTTTAAAGCATACTTTGAAGAAATGCATTTGTGGAGAAATTCTGCAACATAAAAAAACGCTTATTCTATCACATGGCTGTAAGACAAACCTCTAACACAAATTTTTGTGTTACAATGACAGGTTTCTTGTGCTCCCTGGTAAAAATAAAATGAATCTTGATGTTGAAATACGCAGCTATCTCCAGTGGCAAACTAAGAGCTGCTGAAACCGATAGTACCAGTCAACATTTCAATACAGTGCCATTTTGCAGCAACAATTCAGCAGTATAAACATTCCCAGAAAAAAGAAAAACTGCTACAAAAAATCCTTTAACAAAGACAAGACCATAAATCTTTTAGACTGTCTTACTAAGCTCTTTTGTCATGACGGTATTTTCATGTGAACACAATGAAAATAAGGATGCCCAAGCAAAAAAATGGTCTCTTATGCACTCTGACTGGAGAGAGGTAGCTTCTTCCTTTGTTCTTGGTTTTGTTCTCTTAAGCAAAAAAAATTAGAATCCACAGTTCTACTTACTGAAGGACTTTAATGACAGGCTTATATGTTTTAATATATCCACTCCTGTGACAAGGTATTATTAAAAAGAACAGCAAGAAAGGAACATGCTACACACGTTCCTTCTAGCCTAAGGAAGAAGTTTGCAGTAATTGATCTACAGCTAGTGTAGTGTTTGTACAGAAAACAAAATTTGTGTAAACAAACAACAAAACATGGCAAGATAAAGTCATCTTCAAAATGTGCATTTTGAAGGTTTTGGTGTATTAAACTAAAAGTATCCCATTTAGGGAGCTAGTCTGACCTGCACAGTCCTAGGAGACAGGAATGCAACATCTGTTTACTTCATCTTATTGGAAAATAGTCACTGCAACAAAACCATACTGTCAACAAAAGCCCTCACAGCTAGCTTTGAAAGAAAATTCAGGCTAGGTTCTTCTTCTACAAGAAGATAAAAAAATATTTCAAGTAAGGGCTATTATTCTAGAAAGTGCTTACGTGACAGCTTGTGGGCGAACAACCACTCCTCCAGTACATCGACTAGGGCGGCGTGGAGATTCTGTCGCCATTGTTTCTTCGCAGACACCTGTAAGAAACACATGGGTTTTTTAATAATAATTTGTATCAGGATTATCTTAGTTCTTGACATATTCTTCAGGATGATAAAAACCTCTTGAAGAAGGAAACTTGGCTTATACAAACCTGTAAGGCACTGTGACCCTATACAGCACTCTTAAAAAAAAAAAAAAATTTCTTTTTTTGGTATCTCAATCACTACAGCTCCTGCAATGTATGTGAAAGCAAAAAAGAACACAAACCTACACGATAAAGTAGAAAAATTTCTTCAAGCCATACATTAAAGATAGAGGTACAGGTACACAGTTATTATCAGCATTATTTAAGACTATTATTTACTAATGAGCTGTTGTCTTAGAAAATAATTATATAAAAATCGTGTACAATCACAATTGCAGTGTATTGTACTCTTGAAAATCCATAATGGGTTACAATGAAACCAACACAAAAAGCGTGATGGAACACATTGTATTTTTTTAATGTCAGCTTTTTGTGCCGCCTTCAAGTTTTTCTTCACACTTCTGTTCTTCCATGTGAAAATGCAGCATAACGTTCCTAAAGGCAAAAAACACTTGAGGAGCACCACAGATCCCGGCCACCTCCTCAGCCCGCCATTCATCCGCTCCACGGTGTCCCCCGCCCCAAACCAAGAACCAGTACATAAAGTGAGAGAAAAAGCCAAATCCCCAACATGGTATCGGTCATCAGCATCACTTCATGTTTGGGCAGTCTTCGTAAGGGCCACCTCGTTAAGTGAGGCACGGATAAACGCTTAGCCCCACAGAAATCAGTAACAAAACATCATTCAGCAATACAACTGGAGTTTGACAAGCAACCAAGCAACTTTAAAAGGAAAAATGGCCCGTAAAGGAAATAATCTCCTCACATTATGCCCTAACCCAGCGGGACGCGAGTGCTGTCACCTGCACCACAGCTCCGAGCACCTGAGAAGTTGCGGCACAGGGGCTTTGCCGTGCGGGAGCACCGGCCCCAGGAAGGAGGCTGCCGGGAAGCCCTGGGCGCCCTCAACCACCCGCTATTGGGCAACTCCAGAACAAAACGCTCCAACCTGACCGGCCTCTCCCCCGGCTGCCGCCC